AGTGAGAGCAAACCACCGTCTCGAAACGGTTGCTTCCGGTATCCAAGACTCGTAATATTCTACTATGTTCTTCCGGTGATCGCGAAACTTTTTTACTTGCCAAGCGAAACCGACGCGACATGATATAGTGGCGCTCGAGAACCGTGAACGGAATTTATAACAATAATTATGGACGAGGGCGGACCAAGATTTTATGTGTCTCTGTTGACGTGCAATAAATACGATCTAAACGCGATTCACGATCGTTATACGCTAAAAGTTGTATCGTTCATAACACATATTGCTTTCACTGTAATTCACTCGAGAAACCACTGTACCCTGTTCTACAGAAATAAATATGGGATCCGTAAATAACCGTGGATGAAACGCGTACATAAATTGACAACGACAACATGTCTTTCTTGAAACTTTCCTTTTTGGTGTAATGATATTTTTATTAATGTAAATTAAAATCGAGCAGTATAAACTGGTTTAAGTGATGAAGTATTTCTTTACTTTTTTATTGGATCGCGTTAATTAATCCGTCTGAAGTGAGAGTTCCTTTGTATAGAAACTTGTTTCACGATCGAAATTTATAGGAATTTATATTAATTTTAAAATAAATTGTATTAATTGGTATAAGATATTGATTGTTGAATAACAATGTAAGAGAATAATAATTAAATATTCATTTCAATTGAATTCCATTTTTCTTTATAAAGAATGTTTAGAATGTTTTATAACGTAGCATCTATTTTGGCTAATAAAAATATAATAGAGAAAAAATAAATATGTAGAATTTTTATTATATTATATTTTCGTATTATATTTTTTTACTTGCCAAGTAAAATTTCAAATAATTTTTCATAAAAAAAACATAATGTAAAAGATTTTAATAACTACAATATTCTAGAAATTTATTACTTTATAAATTAAAAATTAGATAATTGTATTTATATCAATAATATCTGCATTTTTTATAAATAAATTTTATGTAAACAATTGCTCATTCGGATATTAATGAAAAAATTAAATGAAATTTATATGAAAAAGTAATATATAAAGTAATAGTAGGAAGACATATTGATAAGATTATCAAATATTGATAAGATTATGAATTTTAGAGTATGATTTAATGTGATATACGTAATATTCATTACTACGACATAACGAAAATTTAGATAGTTAAATATTTCTATATTCCATGATATAATACTTACAACACGAAAGCATAATATACATAATGTGAATGCTTAAGCATGGTGTATAGAGACTCATTTTTTAAAATTACTTCTATTACTGGCTTTAATGATAGTATTTTAAAGTTTTATCAATGTTTCCCAGAACGTTTGAATTAATTATCATAAATAAGATAGAATATTTGTTGTGAAAAGAAATATAAATATATTCGTCAGTAATATTTATTAATAAAAATATTCTAAAATTGTCCTTGTTAGCTAATGATGTGAATAGAAACAAGGATAAAAAGATCTAAGAAAAGTAACATTTTTTTTTTACTTTAATTTCCTATATTATATTAATGATTGAAAATAAAGAAAATAATACAAGAATTCAAAAAAAAAACTAAAGAAATAAGTTTTAAAAATAATAGAATATTGAAATTAAGAGAGAGAGAAAGAAATATTTAACTATCTATTTGAAAAATGAGTTTCTTAATATTTTAATGATTATATTAACAACTATAATCATTACAAATTATATTAAAATTATTCCAACTTATATTAACAACTTTTACTATATATTTTCTAATATTAAATGTCACATATCTTTTTAAAATTTTATATCAAATTTTTCTTAATTTAATAATATAACAATAATAAAATAATATCACTATAATTTTAATTATATTATTTTCTTATTTTATTATTCCTAATATTGTTAACTTACAAATAAAGGGAATAAAATATTATATTTTTTTATTCATTTAAAAAAAATTTTAAATGTTCAGCATTAGAGAAATTCTTTCTTATATTAGAATAATTGAAATGTGAAACTCCCAAAGAAACAACGAAAAAAAGAAAAGAAATATGATAGGAAAGAAAAAAAAGGACGAAGGCACTTTTCTCCTATTATCGAAGCGCCGCCTAGAAAACCGGAAGTACGCGGGATCCCAATGCAGGAAGAAGTCGATGCCAACTTGTACAACTATAATTTACGCATGGTGGAATCGTCGTGATTTTTTTCACTTTCACAAAAGTAGCCGTTCATACGCTATCTAATAAGACCGGCCGTTTACACACTTTCATATATAGTTATGTATTCTTTATAATTTCTAGTTTCCGTGTAACATAACTTTTTACATAACCGAAAAGAAGAAATATTCGCTGACGTCGAGTTAGTTATTCCGAGAACCGGTGCAACTCATTTATTAGGTTCGAGCGTTAATTAAATCTGAGATATCCATGCTTTCGCGAGTCTTTTTTTCCGGATTTATTCGATTAAAAATTAAAATTTTCCCGATCAATGGATAATTTCATTTATATCTTTATTAGATTTTTCTGTTGAGCAAATCCATGAAATTTAAAGTTAATGGACATATTGAGTTTCGAAAATAATTATTTGATTTTTTAATTTCTGCTTCAAAAAAGTATTTCTGTTTGAAATTGATTTCGAATGTAATTTTTATATTTATCAAATATATAAAAATATATAATTATCAAAAAAATTGATAATTTATTTTCATTGACTGTTTAAATAGTATAAAAAATTTTAGAAATATAAAAAAGTTTAAAAAGTTTAAAAAATTTTTTAGAATATCATAAATCATTCAGAAATCAAAGTCATCATAATTTCTATAAAATTTTTAATTTTAATATAAATATGTATATGATTTGTATTTAATTTTGCAGAGATTTATTATTTCAAATGATTAAGTTGAATGATTAATGAAGTTAATATATCTGTATAAAATATTAACATAAAAATTTTATATATGTAATTTTATATATTATATATTATAAATTTTATATATAAATTTTATATATTTATTTTATATTGAAATCATTTGGTATTTTTCATTAAAGCATTTTTTTTTAAAGCATTTTATTTTTTTTTTAATTAAAAGCAAAATCTTTAATAATTTTTTCGATATTCTAATATATTTTTTTTTGATTTATTGTGATATTTAATTTTCTACGTTTCTGTAATTATTTTTTTTTTTTTTTATATATTATTTCAAGTATATGTGAATAGAAATAAAAAAAATAACTAAATAACTCAAATTTATTGAATTTAAAATTATTCTGATTTTTCGACTGAAGAATTATTATATTTCAATATTAAAATTGATATGTAAAATTCTCATTCATCAAGGATTACGCAAAAGAAGACTATATTCCATATCAAATTTGAAGAAATTCACCGACGTTTTTAAACTTGTATAATTCGTGTATAAATCCAGAAGAATGTCCCTATGACGTAGCAGCTGAGGAGAAAGTAATGTTTTCATGAACATGTACACAAGCTTATTTAATTGCACTGCGAAACGATTAAGATTTACTTGAGATCGAAAGTGCGCCCGGAAGTGGCCGAACGTTGAATGTTTCGTCTTTTTTTTTTCTTGTCCTCTTTTCTCTTCGATCTTTCCGTGTCCGGCGATTAAAGATTTCTCGAGACTCCATAATCAGTTAATTCATTACTGCTTTTAATGTTTAAATAATTCGATCAAGATTATTTATTGCTGAAATTATTAAGACATTATAATTCTCGTATTGTAAATTAAAATTGAAGTTATGATTTAAATTATTCTGATTATTTTTTTCTTAATTTAAATTAATATCACTATGATTTTAGAATTTTTTTTTTAATCAGTATCTATATATTTTTCTTTAGATTATTGGATTATTGGATTGTTTGGAAAATGATATTAAATAAATGATACATATTAATATAAATTTTTTTTAATTTAAATTTAAATTAATATTATTATTATTCTAATTTTTTATATATTTTTTGATTTTTTTTAATTTTGAGGAAAATTGATTTTTTGAGAAAATGATATTAATATTATTAATATTACATATGAATAAAATATCATTGATATAATTTGCTTCTAAATTAAGAAATTATTGATATTAATACTATTTTGATATTGTTTTGATATTATTATACAAAACAATAAATTCACGTAAATATAAAAATAAATATATCTAAGAATCTTTTTTAAATAATCGAATCATCTTTCCATGATCTTTTATCGAGTGAAAGAGACGTTTATGTAACAATTCTTTCTTCTTTGCTCTTGATGATTTTTTATACTGTATTTATCTAGTTGATCGTAATGGGGAGGTAATGTGAAAAGGGAAATATTGTAAAAGTGAAACTCATCGTGAGGACAAGATTTCCGGTAAAATCATCATGAATCGAGAAAGCGTGATTCGTTAGCGCGTTTATACAAAATTTATTTTAATTTTTTTCCGAGAAAATGCATAAAAATCTTATATGGAGGAAAAAAATTGAGAAATATTGTTACAATACAAAAATAATTCTTTTCTTTTGTGAAAATCGTTAAGTAAAATTAAAAACTAATATTGTAAAAATATTTTTAATATTATAAAAATGTTCTTTTTGTTATTGTTGTCTGTTTTTAAAAACAGATCATCATTTTTGTTCTTTGAAAAAATTTTTTACGTAACAATTGCCTAATTTAAAAATTTTTTTTTTAATTTCAATTAGAAATTAATAAGAATATCTGATCTATTAAATTATATATAATCATATAATTAAATATTCGTTTAATTCACTGTAATATCGTAATATTATTTAATGGTAGCATTAAAATCTATATAAAAATCTATATTAAAATTGTGAAAGAAATGCATAAATTTTGTAAGTGATAATAATTCTTAAAATTCTTTAGAAGATAAAAAATTGATATAATCTTTAAATAATGGAAAAATAATAATTAAATAATAATAAAATACATAACTCATAGAAATACATACATAACTCGTAGAAATTAAAAAATTTGTGAAAGAGGAAGAAAATAAAATTCAATCGTATAAAATGATAGACGAGTATTTATTAAAAATCTTTGATATAAAAAGACACTCTATTTCGTTTGAGTATCTTAACTTAAATTAGGTACAAGAGTAGTTCGCCAGTACGAAATTATAATTTCTCGGTGGCGTTTATTTTACATCGGCTAATTTACGTTCGTAAAGTTTTCTTAAACGCCGGTGTTAATGTTTTCTTTGGAACAACTTAAGGAAAGAAAAAAAAAAAAAATACGACACGTATATTTAAATTTTTATATCAATGGTGATCATACTTATCTCCATTCTCTTTGTCTTATTTAATCTTTTAAGAAGTTCACCTAATTTTTTAAATAAAATTGTGCAATCTTATTGGATGTTAAAAGTATTGTTTAGATATTAATATTCATTATCACATAAACGAGATGGATTTCAAGAATTTATTGGATATATTTCAATGATAGAAAATATTAGCTGAAATCTAAAAAAAAGAATTATTTTTTCATATCTATTTGAAATCCATCCCTTTAATTCAAAGACCGAAAGCAGATTAATCGTACAAATTTTAACAAAATTATTATGACCAAACATTGACGCTGTCACCAAGAAATCGTTAATATCATTCAATTATACAAACAGCTTCTTAAATTACATAAATCTGAAAGACACGTTACGCTCAAGAGAAGCACTAACTACAGAAAATCAAGAAATGTTTTACCTCGTTCTCCCCATATGAAGATACACGCGATCATGTATCTTCAACATACTATTGCTATTATGTGAGACAACGAGTTTCATCTCGATATTTCCTTATTCCTTTTTTGGATAATAAAAAAAAGGAAGAGCTAAAAAAAAAAAAGAAGAAGATTATTGAAATCTTCGTTAAATTTCATCGACGGTTTTTCTTCGTTATCATTACGTTCGCGAAAAGAGAGAAAGAGACAATTGCCCAGAGATCCAGCAGCGCGTATATTAAAAATCTTATCATATCGAAGAAACCGTCTCGATCACTCGAAGAAATCAACGATGATGATATCCGCCTCCGTCTCCATACCCAGAAATACCTTCGTAACCGCCTCCTCCGTAACCTCCGCCCCCATGTCCTTCGTGTATCGGCACTGGTACAGGTACCTTGACTGGAACCGGTACCTCCTTCTCCACAGGTACAGGTACTTCCTTTTCTACGATGTATGGTTTGTCCACAGGTACTTTGACAGGATACGGGACAGGTTTTGGGACCGGGACCGGTACAGGTTTTTGTACAGGGTACGGTTGAGGAACAGGTACTTTGACAGGTACGGGATAAGGTTTCTCTACTGGCACGGGATAAGGTTTGTCCACAGGTACCTTAACTTCGTATGGTACAGGTTTATCGACCGGTACTGGGTACGGTTTCTCGACAGTGACCGGATACGGTTTAGGTACGGTGACCGGGTACGGTTTGTCCACTGGTACCTTAACTTCGTATGGCACCGGTTTCTCGACCGGATACGGTTGCGGTACAGGAACTTTGACCTTTACTGGGAACGGCACGTGCTTCTCTACAGTATACGGCTGAGGTACAGGCACTTTAACCGGTACAGGTATGTGCTTCTCCACGGTATACGGTTGTGGGACCAACACCTTTACCTCGTATGGTTTGTCCACTGGTACTTTGACCTCGTAAGGCACCTTCTTCTCAACGGTGTAAGGCTGGGGCACGTGTACAGGCACCTTCACGAACACCTTCACGGGATATGGAACGTGCTTTTCCACAGTGTACGGCTGTGGTACACCGACCTTCACTTCGTACGGGACATGTTTCTCCACGAGGTAGGGCACGTGCTTCGTCACCTCGTAAGGAACCGGTACTTTTTTCACCACGGTCACGGCCTTCACTTCCTCGTGATGTTCGTAGCCACCGCCTCCGCCCAGGTCGCCGCCGCCGCCACCACCACCACCACCACCCAGATCACCGTAGCTACCATGCAATCCTCGTTTCTCCGTCTTCTTCTCCGTTGACTCGGATACAGAGTCCTTTGGCGATACACTCTCTTCCGCTGCTTTACTCTTCTCGGTGCAACTCACTTGCGTGGCCAATGCCACTAAGACGATGGCGAGCTGCGAGATGAAAGTTGAGATTGATTAAACTTATTCGATCGAATAATGTAGCTATATATGATTGTTTATTTGTGAAATTGCTTTCGTGAATATTTATAGGGGAAATGGTGTATGATATTTTAAACTTGTGTAATATATTATTATGGTTAGATTAGTTTTTTCGTTAATGAATTTGAAAAATTTTTTATAAAAAATTTTTATAAATATATCTCATATATCAATGAATGATAATTAAAATTTTTTTTCATTCTGACATTTGAATTTTAAATAAATTAAATTAATAATAAAATAAAATGAATTAATAATTTCTTTCCTGACCAAAAATCTTCTTCCTTGTTATACATAATTGCATAATTCAATATATATATCGTAGCTTTTTAAAATAATTAAATTGCCTGTTAAAAGATTCAGAATTAACGCAATTAAATTTAAATCACTGATTACTTTAGAAAAAATCAATCTTATTTTATTTAAAATAATTCTGAAACAGTAATGACACTCAGCTTCAACGAAACCAGCTTTAATACTTGTAAAATTCGTCTACTCAAACAAACACGATACAAACATTTCTCTTAAGTGATTCTCACGGAAACTAAAGTCGCTTACCTTGATATCCATCGTTGAGTTCGCGTATGTTTTGATGTGGCGTATAACCACTAACTGAACCGCTTCGTTTTCTAGACTGAGCCTTATATACTCCGCGGCATAATAGCTCAGTTACTTTCGCTGCACCTCATCGTCCGTATTATAGTTGTACGTCTTGTTTTGCATTTGCAAAAACGTGTTCAAGCTAGTGCCGGGATAACGTACGGGAAATTGTGCGAGCCCACCTCTAATCGCGTGATGATCTACTACTATTTGATCGCAATCTATGGAAACTGTTCCATTAGATAGCTTTTAAGATAACGCACAAACACAATAGACAGGTATTCTATTCAGTTTTATGAATATGTTTCATGAATAATTAGCAATTGTACGCATAATTATACGCATTATAGTATGGTTGTGATATTTGTTTTATTCAATAATGCTAATAATTTTATAGTTTGAGTAATTTCATATTTCCATTACGCATTTCCTTTAATTTTTATTTAATGAATTTAATTTGTTTTTAAGTTTTTGTTTAATATATTCGATCAGATTAAATAATCGGATATAATTATTATCTTATAATAAAATTATATTAGTTATTATTATAGATATAATTTTTAATAAATCAAATTAGATTTCTTACCATGTTAGATTTTGAAAAATATTTTGAATACGGTAAAAATTTGTTTTCATTTGAACTAAAAATATTTGATTATTATTAATAATTATTAATGTTAATATAATTTTGATTATATTAACATTCTTTTATGTTTTAAAAAATTTAATGATTATTTGAGTATTTGTCGTTTAAACGATTACGAAAAAAGGAAATTTAATTTATAATAATTTATAGTATAGTATAAAAATATTATAGAAGTAATTGAATATTTAATAATTTTTGAATTCTTCTTAAAATTTATGAAATTATAATAATGAAATAAAGTGTACTGTAATATATGATATACTAATATATATATAGTATATATATATACATTATATTATACTTCATACTCATTTAATCATGTCATAAAATCATACATATGATATGTATCTTATTATTTAAGCAATATTTAAAGCACTAAATAAGAATTAATTTGTTAAAGCAAATTAGATGTTTGTGTATAATAAATCAAGGTTTCATCATTTTTTTTTTAATTATAATGTGAAATTAAGACTACTTCAAAATAATGTTTACCTTCTGGAAAATTGAATTGAATTAAATAAATGTTTCATTACTGATTTTGATGTTAAATTTGTCTTTAGCTATTATTATATTAGCTAATTATTAGTTGTTATTATGCATATATCAATTAATACTTTATCGATATATCAATATTTATGATTATTAATTACAATCTACGATTTTTCTTTTTGAATAAATTTGTTTATAACTTTTCGTAATTGTATGTTTAAATGTAAATAATATAGGAATGTATATTAAATAATTTAAATTTGTTTTTAATTTAATTCTTATATATTTTTAATATATTTAATAACTTCAAATAAAGAAGAAAATATTTAATTAGAAAATTTTATTTCTATTTGAAAAAATAATACATTTTTTTACAATTTTTTTGCGAGGGATTTTTTGAAATGAAAATTTATTTACATAAATATATATTATTTATATATATTACATAAATATATTCATTACTTTTTTTATTTTTTTATAATATTTAGTAAATTTATATATATATATATATATATGTTTTGTGTATAGTGAATAAAATAATAATAATATAATAATTTAAAATCTGTTTATCTTTGATCTTATGTCATTTTTTTCTTTCTGCTACAAAAATATTCCATTACAAAATCATATAGATATCACTTTAATATTTATTTTATTAGAAAGTTCCAATTTACCAGTAGGTAAATTCTATATTATCTTTTCCTTTATTATTTGAATAAATATTCAAAAGTAAACAATCCGAAATAAATGATCAAATAATTCGATTACAATTTTTCATTTTTCATTACGTTCATTTCACATTTATGCTTTAAAAAAATCATATAATCTCGCATCCACGCATAGGACAAGAATTACAGTTTAATGGCATATTTAAGTAACATATTTTCACAAGCATGCATGTATCTCATATAATTCTGATTATTTAAGTTAGTGTGTTGTAAATGAAATGTGATTATTATTACGTGGCGGACTATGTCGAATCAAATTGAAGGAAGTTGATGTTCACGCAAGCGTGATTTGATCGAGACTGGTAGCACGATTTCCTCGTCTTCAATCACCATGAAAATCTACAACATGTCGATTCCTCATGTGTCCTTTTGCGATCGGTTATACTTTCGCACGGTCATCAATAAGAGCAACAACGGAACTAATTCTACACACTCGTATCTTAATGGTATCGTAAATTGAATAGCAAATCATCGATGCAGCTGTGATCTAGCATCTGTTTTGATGATTACACGAATATGTAATGTGAAAAATTTTCTTTTTTCCTATGCCAGATAATTGGAAAAGCAGAAATTTCTGAATATCTTTGGAAATTATGAAAAAATTTCAAAAAGTTAAATTTTATTTTCTATACTTTCCAATATTCGATAATTTTCTGTAATAAAGAAGAAAAAAAAGAAATCGCAAATTAAAAAATTAATTATTTAAAATTATTATTAATTACTACTATTATATATGTAAATTTTAAAAAATATTTTTACAGGATTTTAAAGTAAATATAATAAAACAGGAAACATAATAAATAAAATATTTAAAATTTTCATTCTTAATCATCACAACTTGAGAAAATTTTTCCAAAAACATCTAATCGAAACATTATAAAATTGCATTGAAAATAAAATTAAATTGAAATTCAGGTAGAAAAAAAATGAAGTAAAATGGATCATTATTATTTTAATATTAATATTGTTCGTACGAATTTAATCCTTATCTAAAATTTTCGATATTATTCAATTTCTAATTTCTATAATTTTCCGTTTTACAAAATAAAATTTTAAATTGGGAATATAAATCGATAACAAATATGGTAAATAAGGATCATATAAATTTATTAAAAATTAAAAATTTTTGGAAGAAAAAATAAAAAGATTTTAATTCTATGCTAAGATAAACGATATTTGGATATCTAGATATTAATATAAAAATTAAAAAAAAGAAGAAAAATTGAATACTTTTCTGTGTTATTTGTATTTAAAATAAATTATAATATATGTATTAATAAATATTTCAAAAAAATTAAGATTTAATAATTACATATAATAAAATTTATATGATTTTAATTGTGATAATTTCATGGAAAAAATATATATTGTAATTCTTTCAAAAAACCTTTTGATTAATATTTTTTACAAATAAAAAGGAAATTTTTAATAAGTGAAAATATATTTAATTCAACAATAAAACTTTTATTGAAATAGATATTTAAAAAATAGATTAAAGTTCCATTATTTGAGAATAAAAATTCTATAATAAAAATAAAAAGTCCTATCTTATTGATAAATCGTAAATTTATTTGTTTTAAATATACGTTTGAGGAATTTTATTCATCGAAAATTGTTAAATGAACAATTCAAAATCAATTTTTTAAGATTGTATAAGAATTGATACTTTTGTTTAATTTCCTCAACTTCCAGATTTATATAAAGATTTTATATCAATTTATATTAATTAAATTAATATAAGAAATTAAAAAGCACTATTAACTTTTTTTATAATAATAATGAATGGATCATAAAAATTATTATTTTCAAAAATAAATTTCTAAAAGTTTGGGAAAAACTCTTATCTAAAAAAAATTCTTTTTCCAAAAATCTATCAAAATAAATAAAAAATACTATTAATATCCGCAAAATAATAATAATATGTTTATTAATTCTCAAAAATTTTTATTTTTAAATATATTTATATTTACGAATTAATAAGAAAATTATAAGAAAATCAAATATAAATAAAAAAGAATATATATTTTCAAATTTTTTAAATTTTAAATTTTTAATATGCCAAAATATATATATCATAAACACCATTCGTTAATCTACATATAACCTCTTATCTTCGAATAGCGTTAATTCAAAAAAATTCATATATATATATATATATATATATATATACATATATCATAAACACTATTCGTTAATCTGCGTATAACCTCTTATCTTTGAATAGCGTTAATTCAAAGCTTAGTTTCGCGCACGCGGTGCGTCGATCTATTCGCAAAGGGTGGCCATTAGGCGCGTGTAATTGCCGCAGAAAATCCAAGCAAAGCTCGCCGGTTGCTTCGCATGCGGAATACCTAATGCCGTATGTTAATACGGTCGCATGCGCCACTACTATTTTGATCTTGCCGCGAGATAGAACGGCAATTTTTAACGATTAATACGGTGCACAAGCATCCAACTCGTTGCTATCACCGTAAATACTCGTTACGGAGGCCTGCCTCCTTATTCGCGCGATTTTCAATAAATATTACCGATCTTTCGTTATATCTTTCCTTTCACAAATCGTTGTTTCGTACGAGAACGTGACGATCGATAGATAAATTGCACTGCTTTTCCTTTTTTTCATTTATGTAACTTAAATTTAATTCTTTTATGGCAAATTTTTCTTGTTTTATTTTCTGATGTGGAAAATAGTGTTGTCATCTTAGATACGATCTTAGCTTTCATTGGGAATTATTTATTAATGTTAACTTTGTGAAACAATTTATCCGTCAAAGCATTTATCTGTCAGTATTTCCAGTTATAATTCTAGAATTATATTTTGATGAAAGTATTCTATTTTGTAATTCTAACTAGAAATGCAACTCTCATGTGAACGATAGAGTTGATAAATATTACATAATAAAACAAGATCTGAATTTCAAGTATTCTCATATTGATCATTTATTCATGTTTCTCTTTATATTGTATATTTACGTAATAATAATATATGTATAGTTTATACATTATGCATTTAAAAATATATTATATTACGATAGCATTAATATTTTATGACATAGTTAAGAGTATCTCATCTAGTTATATATGTATGAATCCTGATCTTTCAGTTATTGTTAAAGAAATTTCTGATATAACAATTTTAGAAAGGAATCTATTAGAAATATATTAATTTATTCTTGAAATTTGTATATTTAAAGGTTTTTTTTATCATAAAATTAAGATTTTAACACATTTT